AATCTATTGATTCACGTTCAACCTATAAAAACTCGGTGATTTCAATATAAATCATGAAGAATAAAGAATAAAGAATATAAGCAATTAATAATTGAACATAATATTTTACTCACCGTGGGAATCACTCGAGCTGCCAAATGCACAGAACAACCTGTGGTTTGATGGGTTGGAAATCCAATGAATATTCTACCTTGATCAGGAAATGGTGTTAGGTCTTTAAAAATATTTAATATTTCTTTATTAGAATTTCCTGGCAAATTGCATTCATCGTGCCCAGTAAAAATCATTTGTATTGTTGTGTTATTTGGTGGTTTTTTTTTAGTAGCAAATTCCATCTCTTCACTAAATGATTTAGGCACATCTACACCCAGATTACCACAGGCAATCTTCAGAGAAGTGGATTGTGATATTTGTGATTTTTCAGGACCAATTAATCCTCGAAAATGTAGTCGAACATTACATACTTCAACAGATTTTAATCGGAACATATTCTTTGGTGAAAATTTGTTTAGTCCAATATCCATATTAATTGAAAGTGATTTATTGGTCTCTTTTGTCAGATGAATTACTTCTGTATCATTAAAATAAACAATGACTTTACGAAGATTTCTTGTAAAGCCCTAAAATTGTAAACGAGTAAATATTTGTTCAAAAACCTAGTTTTTCAGACTTCGATAGGAGCACTTACCAATGATGTGGCTAAGAAACGTCCAAAAGATCCTATATTAGGTAACTAAAATAAAAAAGAAGTCCTCAATTTACTGGATAATGATAACGATGATAATGATAATGATAAGGTTAAAAATATAAAATAATTGGGTACATTTTCCTTTCTTCGTGTATCCATTAGAAAAGTTGTCCAAATCATGTCATCTTGCTTTATACCACCCATTTTGGAAAATAACTGATCATTACGCCAATAAAAGGCCATACCTTGCGTACCTGACGAAATGCTAATAAAAGAAAAGGTACCACGCGGTCAAATAAATTGGATTAATTGAACGGAAGAACATCAAACTTTATGATAAACTTTAATTATTTACAATGGCTCTTCACAAATTGAAAACAATGAATAAAATCCAACTCCAAATGCTCCAATCTAAATCAACCACAATTAAATTCTCAACAATCCAAAAATGATCTTGCAAAAAAAAAACCTGATGCATTAATCAATTAGAACCAAACCTTTTCTACATCAGGATTTCCCTCTGCAATTTTTTTCAATCTGTTCCAATCTTCATCTCGAAACAGGAAACCATTATTCTTGAATATGATTCGTCTGCATTTTTTTGACTTGTCAGTTTCAAATGTTATTTGGACGGTTTTGGCCTGGGCATCATCTGAATGATTTTGATAATTTTAGATAAAAATAGTTAGGAACAAGTAGAAAATAGGCTCATTAATTACCTGAATTCTGCATCAATTCCCTATATATCACGAACTCTGCCGAATATCTATCAATAAAATATGATCGAATTGATTAATGATGTAAATAAAATCAAAAGTCTGATTTGCAAACATTATGAACATACCTTGCCAAAACCTTATCGATCAAGTTCCTCTGATTAACCTCAACTTTTTGCTCGCCAGTCTCATTAATGAGCACCGTTTTGCGAAGTTCATCTAATAAAAGACTCTTGAGTTAACAATTGTAGATTACATGATCGACACCAAATATTATGCCATTACCATAATTTTCTTTTCTTATATTGTCTTTTTTTCTCTTGGGCACACTTTTTATAAATTTTTTCATTTTGAATAATTTGAATAATAATTTATGAATTTAGAAGACAAAAAAATTCCAACAAACAGATAGAAAATTTTCATTTAGAGAAACGAACCTAATTTTTCAATTATAAATGGCAATTCGTGTGAAAAAAATTATTGAATTTACAATGATATTGACAATTTGATAAAAATCATTGAATTTACAATGATTTTTACAATTTGATAAAAATCATTGATACTAAAGTTTATTTTTAGAATTAGGTTGCGATTGATTATAAACAGCCAAAACATTTGTTGATCCTTCGATAGGAAGCTTAATCTCTGGTAGTAACCCGCAAATAAATTGTATTCCAAGTTGAAATCAGCATATTGGCTCAAAACAGGGTTGGCAATGTACCAGGCCCATTGAGACCGAATATGCTTGAAATGATTTCCAATGGATCGGCATTATAGCAAGAATTTTCAAACTTGAGGTTGTAAAAAAATCGTATTTTTCCGCAAATTTGCGCAGCATCATGAAAATATCCAATTTTATTGGTGGGTTGGGTGCGTGTTATCCTTATTTGGAAATTGATTTGGCGATTTGCGGATATTTTTGCGGAAAAATACATGATTATGGTTGTAAACAATTCATGAAGAATGACAGTATCCAAATATCCAAACCAATCGGTCCTATAGACAGCATACATAAACTTATTTGCGAAGCAATATATTATTTGCAACGAAATGCCATAAAGATATTCTTTTTTAGATGGTGATTAAACTATTAATGTGGCCTGTTCGTACAAAAATCATGCCTTAACCAGATATACAATGTTCAAACAGCTATCTGAAGCAAAAGATGAACTTTCGATGGAGTAATTAACGCATACATATATCTAATAATTTCAATTAATTTTTTTATAACAATACAAATGAAATAGGAAATTCTCTATAAATATGATTATCAGAAATTTCATGGATTTTAAATTTTTTAAATGTTATATTAGTGTCGACAATAAATTAGTTGTAGGATATTTTTCTTAATATACGAAATTTTGCAATGCACTAAAACATGTCGGCAGATATATGATTGATACCCTAGCATACCAAAGTCAAATAAATTGAGTTGCTAGAATGAAGACGGAATGTCTTTCGATAATTGGTACAAGAGACATAGCACAAATGATGATGATAATGAAAGAGAAAAGAGTAATTTCTTTCAAAGTGAATATTTTAACCGCGGATTTGGACATGTTTTATCAATTGAGTTAATGTTACAATTCCATGTAATCTGCCTCAAAGAACATTGTTGTTGACTTAGAAATCATGTCCATTTGGTTATTAAGTAAAAATTCATCTTCATATCAAATAATATAATGTACTGATGTTTCGCCATATATAAACAACAGGTTGTTGTTTTACGAACCTTAAAGAATAAAATGAGTTTTTTAGAATTTTTAAAAAAATCTTTGCAAGTTCTAACGACCTTTATGGTATAAGTAAAAAATGCGTCTTATGTTTACTTTTAAAAATTTAGAACATTTGATAAATTAATTGCCGAGAAAAAAATTTACGAAATAATTCAACCTCAAACTGCTCATTAATTTGAAACATAAAATACATGACAAAAAATACATGAAACTGTTTTGAATTAATTATACTTTATTAAAAAAAAACAATATCTTGTCGGGTATCATTTACTTTTTAAAAAAGCAACAACTTTTCGTGGCATACTATCTATTAATCTATTAATTCTCCCCGGGATTAAACCATTCCTCTTTTAATAAATTGGTTTTGTGTTTCTCATTTTAAGTCTTCTTTTTAAATCTTGCCAAAAATTTTCAATAGGATTGAGATCTGGACTTTGGGCAGACCTCATTATCTTCTTTCCATATGTTTGCGGCAGCTGCATTATGACATACATGGTGCATTATCATCTTGAAAGATAAATACACCATCACCACTATTATGACGATTTTCTACATTTAATTCATTAATAAAAGATAATAAATTTGCCGCAAAAAGATTATTATAATTACTTACATCCAATTAAAAGTTTGCAAAAAATTTTGATAAAATAGAAAATCAATTAAAATTTATTTATATGAACTAACACTAATGCACCCATTTTTCTTGTAAAACAACCCAAACCGCAATTCATCAGATTGTTTTACCGTTGGACTTAAAATATTCTTTTTTATATCTTTTTCCTGACATCCTCCAAGCCCCTAATTTTTTCTTGCATGGCACCAAAATAATCTTTTTTTCCTATTTTTTTTCTGCAATTAATGACTTCTTTACAGCTTTCCTACCATAAAGATTTTTAACATGTAAAGTTCGCCTGACAGTCTTTTTCACTTGCTATAATATTTAATTTTTCAAGTTTCTTGGATAATTGGTAGGCAATGGTTTTGGAGACTTTTCTTACTGCTTTCACGAGCTGTCTTTCATCACGCTTCGATGATTTTTTAGGTCTTCCAGTCTTAGTAGCTGCTGTTGTTTTATTTTTTAAAAAAATAATCATTAATGGTGTTTTCAACTGCTCTTTTGGATATATTTAATATGTTGGCTATTTCCCTATAAGAAAAATTCGCCAATAATTTCTTCACGTTCAAATTCAGATAATTCAATACCTCTGGCTATTTTGAGTCTTTGAAAAAAATATGGATAAAAAGAAAATAATATTAATATTAATTCGCTGATCAATAACCCCGGAAATCCGGGGTGATCTTTTCTATATTATTTTATATTAATTATATTATTTATTTATATTTATTTCTTATTTTTAGCTATCTATTATTTATTTTTAACTATTTGTTTTATCTATTATTTATTTTTAATTTTATTATATTCTATATTTATTTGTATTAATTTTCCGAATGATTTAAGGGTAGAGTTCGGTTACACATAATAACATATGGCAAAAATTTAAATTTGGCGTAAAAAAAATGGTTTGTAC